AAGAATTCTAAAATTTTTTTTCACTTTATTAAGAAGACATGTATTTCTCCCTGCTTATTTAGGTGATAATCACAGAATCTTAAAAACTGGAAGTGACATTAGAGATAGTGTATTTGGTCTGCTCCTTTCATTTTACAGAGTGATAACTGAAGCTGGAGAAGTTAACTCATCTGCCAAAGGGCACCCACCTGATTAGTTATTCTGCAGGACAGGAAGACAGGTGGCAAGTGACTATGCACTCCAGTGCATGGCACGTTGTAAGAGCTCAACAAATATTATTTGTATAAATGGATGAGTAAGTGAGTGAGTGAGTAGGTGAGTGAGTGAATGAAAGTCCAAGAGACCGTAGATGAAATCACTTGCAAGTATTACTATAAGGAACTTCCAGTCAGGGAAGAAGTTACTGTAATGCAGAAAGCAGCTCTCAGATGTTGTGAAGGACCAAACATTGCTACTGAAAATGGAGACAGTAGCAGGAGAGCCTCAGTGGATTTTTATTGGTGTAGTAATTCTGTTTCATACAGTCTTGTTGCTATAATCTTTTTTATAGAAATTTTTGGAGAATCCAGAATTATATGTGCCTCCATTAGCACCTCATCCACTCCCATCTGCCGAGATGATCCCTAAAAGGCTGACACTGTCAGAGCTGAAGAGCCAATTCCCTAAGTGTGCTGAGCTCCAGGGCTACTGTCCAGTGACCTATAAGGACGGAAAACAAAGGCAAGTCCTCACCCTCGTGCAAGTACAGAATGATAGCTCTACTCGGAGTAAGTGGTCCATATAACAATCTTAACATTTTGATCAAAAAATCACTATTGTTAAACTGGAAAATGTTCTGTTTCTTCCTTGAGCTGCAAAGATAGAAAAATAAAATATTTTTGACATTTTATTTACACAGTACAGCATACTAATTACACAATACATAATTGTTTTTGTTTGTTTGTCTTTCAGATATGAAGCCCTAGTACCTGGTAGCATTAACTATGCTTTAGAATATCGTGATCGTATATATATTTGTGAGAGTAAAGAAAAACTTCAGAAATTTTTGAGGTGAGACCATTCACTAAGTCACAAGTATTTATTTATTTATTATCTATGTTAAATGCACCAGGCTGGGCTAGATCTATATATACACACAGACGCACACACACAGACACGTGCACGTGCATATAAATATAAACACACACATAGCTGAAGGGGGCATCCGTTACTCATCCACTGCCAGACATTTCTGTTCTTCGCAAGAAGTTGGAAACCAAATTTCTTCTTAAATTTTTCTGATTTTTAAGCTTTTGTGACTGATTCAACTGTAAAAAAAATACACTGTGGATTAAATCACATCTGCAGATAGCCTTTGTGCAGTAGTTTGTGATCTCTAGTGGAGCTCACTGAAGAAACATAACTGTAAAAAGAGAAGAGACATCAGTTGCTGGAAGGGATATCAGATTGAAGGAGAGAAGGTGGTTTTTCTTTTTTCTTTCTTTTTCCATGGGAAAGATCTGAGCGTGTTTAAAATGCAGGTACACGGGAAGGATCCAGTAAAGAAGGAAATGCCAAAAGTGCGGGAGAGAGAAAATTTGCTCTATTAGGATATCTGGAGAGAGGGCTGAGTGGGGATCCAAAGTGTGGGTGGAGACTGATCTTTGATGGGAGGTGAGCTCTGCCACGGGACAAGGAAGCTGTGTGAGGCTCTGCTCGTGGTGAGCCGTTGAGGAAGTTCTATTCCAATGGCTTCTCTTTATAGAGCATGGCACTTGTGCAGGGGTTACTTGGGAGGGTTGAAAGTGAGAGGAGAATATAGAAAGTTTTATATAGTTTCTGTGAAAGACAAGAAAACTGAGAAGACATAAGCAGGGCTAGGAACCCCGGTGTAATTGGTGGCCATGAATTTCCAGGAGACCCAGTCTTCCCACTTGTGTCATTTTCTCCACTGGAGAAAAACAGGTAGTGAACATTATCTTTTCGTTGTCTCTCGTGTGTCTGCCTTCCTGTGCACACACAATGAGTACATTTACCAGCATCTATCTAACGGATTTTGTGTTGCTAGGTTGCCACTGAAATACTGGGATCAGAAGCTTCCTCACAAACTTCCCCCGTTAAAGGAGCCGATGTGTCTCACGAGTCTGCCTTTGCCTGGATATGTGGAGCAGGTTCCTTTACATGATTTCCTGTGTTTGGGTATTAGAGGACTACAGCAGTCTCTTCTTCAGCGATCATTTTTATTTGGGGAACAATGAAACTCAAGGCAGAGTTTCCTGATTTTCAGCTGTAAATTCACTTTTAACCTATTTTGGTTTTACATGGTTGTGAAAATAAAATGTGAGAAAAGCCCCCATTTCTGTAGCTAGCCCCAAATAGCTGCACTAAAGGGAAGAAAGGGTAGAATGTTAGAAAATTATTTACATTTGATGTGTAGTTTCTTATTTGGAATTTCAGCATCTGTAAAACTCTTTCTTAATTTGAAATGTGCTAAGTCAGTCTCTGAGAGGTTTTTCGCTGCTGAAAACAGTTGAGTTGCAGTATCACCACAACTGAACCACCAAACACATGTTTTGGCCAAAATCCAGGTGAAGCTATTCACTCAAGTCACGACTTATTTATCTAAATATAATCTCTTTCTAAATATAGTCAAACTTACCAGTAGCAACCACTATTTTAAAAGCTTTTGGAAAAAATTCTATAAAACAGATGCCGTGGACACAACTTCATACCTTTCCTACAAATTCTTAACCACTTTTTTTTTTTCAGCTCTCCTAGGTGGTTAGCCTTCAATCTGGCTTAAAATCAAAAGACAAGATGAGGCTCACCCAGAGAGGAGTATTCTCTTTGCCTGCTAGGGACTCCACAATCTTTTTTAAAAAATATATTTTATTTTGTTTTTGTTTGTTGTTTGTTTTTGTTTTGGGGGAGTTAATTAGGTTTATTTATTTACTTATTTATTTGAATGGAGGTACTGGGGATTGAACACAGGACCTCGTGTGTTAAGCATGCGCTCTACCACTGAGCTGTAGCCTTCCCACCTTCAGAATCTTGACTGCAGCGATAACTGTGTTGTCTGGGATTCCTCATCAGGTGGCCCTGGGACCCGAGAGTGGGACGCAGTCTGACCAGTTCTGAGCAATGGAAGCAAAGATGGGCCAAGACAACTCACAGTGTCCCCTTCTTTCTTTTTTAACTTTTTATTATGGAAAATTTCAAACATATAAAAATAGAGAGAATTGTGTAATGAAACCCATGTATCCATCACCTACCTGGCACTAAGCCAATTGTGGTTTTTATTTTTCTTAATCAAATGTATTTTGTGTTTCTTTCCTGTCAACTAAGTGCTCACTCACCCCTCTTTATAAGTTCCATCTCCAACCCCAGGAGGCTATTTGAGGCAAAGAAGAGCCTTTTTATCTATTTGCCATTAAGAAAGGAAAACAAACTCAAATATACACAATTTGTTTCCTGCCTGCAGGGTATCGCAACTTCTCTGATTAAGGCAATGAATGCAGCAGGATGCTTAAAGCCCAAATTCCCCTTCTTAAGTATAAAGAGATCTGCACTACTCTACGTAGCATTTCATCTAAAAGGTATGTCTTGTCTTTTTTTTTGGCTGGAAATGATATGCTACTCAGAACTAATTTAACATTAATTGTAGTATAACATGATTAAAAAAAACATGTCGAGCTGGGTTTGTTGCTTGCATGGGTGTGTGTGTGTGTATTGGTAGGAAATATTTTAGCAAAAATATCAAGCCTGAGTTTCCAGTTTTTAAAGCAGGGACTACAGGTAACATAATGAGCTGTCAATAATTTGTGCTGTATAGGAAGGTGAATAGTGGCAATTATGATCTAAAATAGAATAAGCCCCAAATCTTATTTGGGATTTGGATATATATTTTCTTGGCCATAGCTGTGCAACCGAATCACACACACAGTGCTCTCTCTAATTAAATGATTCACTAACCTAACAGAAAACATTCACAGTTCTGTGAAATTTTCTACAGCCTTTAATCCCAAAAGTTCTGAATATACAAGAAAAAAATATAAGAAGAAGATGGAGCAGTTTATGGAGAGATGTGAACTCATTACATACCTGGGTGCCAAGATGACCAGAAAATACAAGGAACCTCAGTTTAGAGCTATTGACTTTGATCATAAATTACAGACCTTTCTCTCTCTTAGAAATATAGACCCAGTCCATGGATAGTTTGCTTGGGTAACTGCACCCAGGATCTTAAGAGTTACCTGAAAAGGATAAGGGAAATAGGTTGAAAATCCGGCTCCCCCTGATGTACTTTTCCCTCCTGTGTGATGCACCACAGCTGCTACACTGGCTACACTGCAAATGAATTCAAAGCTCTGCCAGCAGGAAGGAGTGCTCTTCTGTAAGCCTAAGTTTTCATATAATTTTAAAGTTTATTGCTCTTTGCCTGAATTTTTATGCTTTAACAAAATAGTTATCCCATTTAGAATTCCATTTGGAATATTTAGGTGACTTATTTTACTTAATAAATCTATTGTTCATTTTCCCTTTTAACATTTTCAGTAGAAAAGTCAGTCTGTTAAGGAAAAGTACTCAGTAAATGTTGGCTTTGAGAAACAAAATTAACATTGATATAAATAAAGTAGAAATACTGGTCACACTCTTAACATAAGGAGTTGTCTGTGAACTTCATGAACATAAAGACACTTTATCATTTTACCAACGAAATATGGATGCTGAGATAACTGATGACTGCCTCTTTTCTTTTTCTCAAGTATTCAAGGAAGCACGCTTTCTACATTACTTTGTAATTAGAAATCACCTAGATAGTTGAGAAGGATAAAATCTAGAGTCTTTTTATAAGACATTATCAAGAAGTATATGCTAGAGGAAAATTACTAAATTGAATTTGAATGAGATTTTAAAAGTAAGATTATCGATTTTTCAGCAGGAGTATGAGAAATCTAGAATGTGAATAGCAAGATTGGCTCTTTAAAAAAATAAAAAACACCACTGTTATCTGTGTAACCTTGGGTAAATCTCAATTTCTCTAAGCTTTTGTTTCTTAATCTCCAAAATGAATGATTTAGCTCTTTTTTTCTAGCTTTATTGAGGTATAACTGACAAATAAGATTATATATATTAAACTGTACCACATGATGATTTTGATATAGGTATACATTTGTGACATATTTACCACAATGTAGTTAATTAACACATCCATCACTTCACATAGTCACTTTGTGTGTCTGTGTGTGTGTGTGTGTGTGTGTGTGTGTAGCAAGAACACTTAAGAACCACTCTGTTAGCAAATTTCAAGTGTTATTACAGTATTATTAACTATAGTCACCATGCTGTACATTAGATCCTCAGAAAACTTGTCTTATAACTGAAAGCTTGTACCCTTTGACCAATATCTCCCCATTTCTCCCACCTCCCGCCCCAACCCCTAGAAGCCACCACCATTCTACTCTGCTTTTATGAGTTGGACCTTTTTTTTTTTTTTAAGATTCCACGTATAAGTGATACCATAAAGTATTTGTCTTTCTCTGTCTGGCTTATTTCACAAAACATTATGGCTTTCAGATCCATTCATGTTGTCTTTATACCTATAATTTCAACAATGTTCATTACAAATTAGAAGTCTGTTTTATATAAATTTTCTATGATATACTTAATAATAAAATAATTTTTAAACAAAAGCTAGAAGCTTATTGACAAACTTAGGATAAATCCCAAAAGCCTTTGAACAGTTGCTGATAGACACGCAGATGAATCTATACTTTTTCAGGAGACTGGGAGTTGTCAGTAGCTACCAAGTTTTACAAGAAACATAAGGTTCTACCCACTCTTCTCTTCCCATTTCTTAATGCTTGTAATTTACCATCTTCCCACAGTAAATGGGGAATCTTGTGTCCTTTCCACAGCACTCCTCAGCCTATGGGTATAAGAAGTCTCCTTTAGCAATTAAACCCAGACTTCATTGCTTCAGTGCCCTCACCTTTATGAAGGGCAGTAGCCGGGCAAAGTACCCCCAAGTATCTTTTGAGAGACAGAGAGGATCTCATAGGCTCCAGAGCAAGTCCACCCCACTGGACTTGCCCCACATCTGCCGCCTTCTGGGGATCTTGTTCCTAATATGGTTTCACCCTGAGAATTCTACAAACCCAAGGGTGCTGTTTTCTGAGTTCTCCCAGCCCGTCTGTCATTGTTCTGGAGCTGCTGAGTTCTGCACGGAGGTGGGACGAATGCTCCCACTCTCCTGATTAGTCCCCGACCTGAGAAAGGAGCCAAGTGCCATGTGATTCTCCCTTTTCACACCTCTTTCCCAGGGTCTCTTCTTCCGAGTAAATCTGTTTGACAGAGTGCAGGAGGTAGGAGCATTGGGTGGGGAGTGGGAATCAAATTTCCCAGAGTAGCTTATACCTCTGGACATTCCAAGTTCCTAACACTCATATAAATTATAGTTAGTTACACATAGGTGCCTATTTAGAATAACTACCGACAGGGATCCCATTCCAGGCTGTTTGCTATGTGCCAAATAGTGCGCTACTGGCTTTGCATACATTATCTTATTAAATTCTTACATGTTATATTTATACACGAGAAGAGTTTCTCACCCAAGATTACATAAGTAGTAGAATCAGACTAACTCCAGAGCCTTGTTCTTCCCTTACCACCCCCTACACTGTGAGTCCATCTTGGAGACCACCATAACGGTGTCAGTGTTCCTAGGGCGTTTCATTGGCCAGGGTCCTTTGGGCACTCGTGCATGTATGTGCATGTGTGTGTGTGTGTGTTTGTGTGTACACTTTAGAGGATAAAAATATTATAGAAGACTCAGGAAAACCTTTCCTTTGAGCCTGAGACTCCCTAGCCCCACTGCCTACATGCATTCACATCCTGCCTTTAATGGTTGCAAGTTGTGTTTTGTTTAGAAAGTTAGAGGTCTGTGTCCCTAGGGAGGGAGAACAGCATTTCTTCAATAAGAAAGGAGAACATGCATCATTTTAAAACCTCTTACTGAGATCTCCTTTTGTTTAGAAAATTATGCTTGCATATTATTATGAATAGTCTTATCAACTGATGGCTGAATACGATAAAAAGAATAGTCTGACTGGGTGTCCAGGACCCTTGAATTTCTTCCCTGACAGAGGCAGTAAGAGTGAGTTGCCTGCCCATGGTGCTCACTGAGAGTCATTACTCCTGTCCTCAAGGCTGCCACAGACCTCTTCAGGAAGAGGCTGAGGTAGTGCCCATCCCAGGGCCAAGGAGACTCTTCAGCCAGCCTGTGCCTCTACATGGCTTGTCTAGATGTCATTCTCACTACAACTAAAAGAACTCATAATTTCAGCCAGGGAGGAGAGAGTGCCCGTTTGACACACCCTAAGACAAAAGGTAATCTATATAGCAAATGAAATGTGGACAAGTAAGGAAACAATTTTATATTTATTTCTTTACCAGTTAACACTCAGATCCATCAAATAGATATACTGTATTTGACCATTCCTATTGCTAGATTGTGTACTGTTGTATTATATTTTAAAATGTTGTGACTTCCCCATGTTTGGGATTATTAACCTGAAATTAAAGTACTGGGTGAATTGGTATGAATTTAAAAAAGTAAGAAGATAATGCCAAACGATTGTAAAGAAGTAACAAAATGATGCTCTTGGGCACTCCTGGAAGCAGTATGAATTGCTGTAACTGTTTTGGAAGGCAGCTTAGTAATAGGAATTGTGACCCATAAGAATAAAGGGGCAGAAAGCAGAACCTTGTTCCTTTAATTTGAATTAATAGTGATATTGAACATTATTACATATGTTGGTCACCTGTTAAATTTCTTCTTTTGTGAATTTTTTTATACCTTTTGCCCTCTTACTCATTGGGTAATTTTAAATTTTTTTGCATGAATTCTTTATGTAACATACACATCAGTCCTTTGTATTGGCAGTAAATAAGTCCTGTTTTTTAAGTACCAAAGAAAGAACTGTTCATCTTTCCCTCATAATATTGAATACTTTTCTAAGCTCTGGACATTCTCCCATCTTCAGAGATTTAATAAATATTCTAGTTTGTTTTCTTCTACTATGTATGTGTTTATATTTAATTCTTTAAGCCTCCTAGAATTCATTTCAGCATATGATGTGAGCTGTAGTTTTAAATTCTTCAAAACTCAAAGTAATAAATACTATGGGTTTTTTTTAACATTTTTGGTTTTATTACATATGTTTCATTTTATTCTCAAAGCAGTTATTAAAAGTTTTCATACATTCAGTGGTAAAGGGGAAGGAGTTCAAGAATAGGGAAAAAAATGAGAGAGATATTTTACATATGTATGCCTCTGTCTAGTTGTGGGTGATTTTTTATTTTATCTTTTTTCACTTGTTTTTGCTTTTACCAATGAAAACCTGGGTAGAGGTATATCTACAAAGCCTGAGAGCCCTTAATTACGGGGTAGTTTGGGGAAGAATTCTTAGAAGGGTAACATCTGAATTAAATGGACCTTTCAGAATCAAGGGAGGTAAGATTAGAGAAATAAATAAAAATTGAGATTCTAACTAGGAAGTGAAAGGCATTCCAGGAATTAGCAAACACATGTATTCACCAAACCTGTGAGCCAGGCATGTTGAGGATTGCTTAGTCCATATAAGTGTATGCATATTTATAAGGAACTCTCCCAGTCTAGGGTAGGGGATAAAAATATAATCAGATACACACCACCCCTATGTAGTGCAGAAGATATGGAACCTAGAAACTGAAGCACTAGTGAATTAGTGCTATAAAATCCCTATAAAGTGGTTTATATTTATAGTCCCTATAAAGATATCTCATTGGCATTGAACATTGTCAATTATCTTTCTGTTCCCTTCATATCCCTTTAAGTCATAATGAGCCTTGGACTATAGTTTCTTCCAGCTAGTTATCAATCAATTATTATGGCCTACAAAGATGGTTTTTTAAAACATTTTTTATTGATTTATAATCATTTTACAATGTTGTATCAAATTCCAGTGTAGAGCACAATTTTTCAGTTATACATGAACATATATATATTCATTGTCACCTTTTCTCTCCGTGAGCTACCATAAGATCTTGTATATATTTCCCTGTGCTATACAGTATAATCTTGTTTATCTATTCTACAATTTTGAAACCCCAGTCTAGCCCTTCCCACCCTCCGCCACCTTGGCAACCACAAGTTTGTATTCTATGTCTATGAGTCTATTTCTGTTTCTACAAAGATGTTTTTGATGCCCTTTGTAATGATAAAGGACTTTCACCAACCTCTAATTGCCAGCTCATCATGATCCTCTCCTTCCTTCAAACTCCTGCCATGTGCTCCATTGACCCAGTCCACCCAGAAGGCAATACATACTGGGCTCTGTTGATGGAGTCTTTGCAGCCTCCCAAGGCCAAAGATGGGGAGGAGGGTGGAGATTGGATTTGGAGGAGAAAGAGAAAAAGTCCCTTTTATTTATCATTATTCAGTCTTTAAGTGATTTTATTTATAACAATTTATAATCTATACTCTGGTAACTCCACTGTTAATATCTCAATTTCATGTCTCACCTCTGAACTCCAGACTGTATAACTGCCTACTGTATATCTTTGCTTGACATCTCAAATTTAATATGCCCACCCCACACTTGTTATCCACCCAATCTCTCTTCCTCCAGTTTTCTGCCAGATCAGTTAATGGTAATACTGTATACTCAGTTGATTTGGCCCCTGACCTAAGGGTTAACCTTAACCGCATTCTTTCCTTCACACCCCCCACATCCACTCTCTCAACAAGCCCTGTCAAAGAGAACTATCTCCAAATATACTGTTGAGTCTGAGCTTTCCTCATGTTTTTCACTGTTTTCACCTAGTCTCTATGCCTCTACTCATGTCCCTCTAGGATCTACTTTCAACCTAGCACCTGAATAATCTTTAAATACATAAATCAAGTTCATCAGTCCCTTTATAAAATCTTCCAATGGCTTCTCATATCAGTTAAAATAAAATCCAGATTCTACTCTTGGTATATGTTAATGTTAAGTGTCAATTTGGAGGATGTTTTTGGATGAGATTAAAATGTAAACCACAAAGGGAATCACATACTATATTCAATATCTTGAGTAACCTATAATGAAAAAGAATATGAAACAAATATATGTATGTATATGTATGACTGAACTATTATGCTGTACACCAGAAATTGACATATTGTAATCTGACTGTATGTCAATTTTAAATAAATAAATAAAATAAAAATAAAATGTAAATCAGTGACCTTTGAGTAAGCAGTTTGCCCTCCGTAATGTAGGTGGGTCTTGCCTAATCATGTGAGCCGATTTCTTATAATAAGTCTAAATCTCTATATCCTATTGATTCTGTTTCTCTAGAGAACTCTGACTAACACAGCATAAAATCCCTTACATGATCTAAACCTGCCTAACATCAAAATCTTCTCCAATTCTTTCTCTTTATCTGTTCCTTCCTTCTTTTGGACTGACTAATGACAAAGTCAGAAGACTAACACTACCTGACTTCAAGACTTAACCATGCAAATTAAAACAACAATTACACACCTATTAGAATGGCCAAAATCCAGAACACTGACAATACCAAATGCCGATAAGAATATGGAGCAACAAGAACTCTTGATTCATGACTAGGAATGAAAATGGTGCAGTCTTTGATATTTACCCAAATGAGTTGAAAACTTATGTCCACACACAGACACAAAAAGATGCTTAGAGCAGCTCTAGCCGTAATTGCCAAAACTTTGAAGTAACCAAGACTTTTTCATTAGATGAATGGGTAAATAAACTGTTGTACCTCCAGACAATGGAATATTACTCATCACTACAAAGAAATGAGCTGTCAAGACATGAAAAGATATGGGGGAAACTTAAATGAATGTTACTAAGTGAAAGAAGCCAATCTGGAAAGCCTACATTTCATATAATTCTAGCTATATGACATTCTGGAAAAAGCAAAACGATGGAGCCAATAAAAAGATTAGTGGTTTCTAGGGGCTAGTAGGGAAAGAGGGGTGAATAGGTAGAGGGTTTTCAGAGCAGTAGAACTATTCTGTATGATGATATAATGGTGGATACATGCCATTGTGCATTTGTCCAAATTTATAAAATGCATTTCACCAAGAATGAGTGCTAATGTAAACTATGGACTTTGGGTGATAATGATGTGTCAATGTAGGTTCATCCATTATAACTGTACCATTCTGATGCTGGAGTTGACAGTGGGCAAGGCTGTGCATATGTGGAGTTAGGAGGTATATGGGAACTCTTTGTAGTTTCTGTTCAATTCTGCTCTGAACCTAATACTGCTCTAAAAAATAAAACCCATTTAAAAGTGAAACAAATAGATGAATTTTGCAAATATCATTCTACTGAAAACTCTTGTCTTCCACTGTTGCTGTTGAGAAGTTATCAGTCAGTGTAAATGAGTTTCCTCTATAGGTAATTAGTATTTTCTTTCTACATTCTTTTAAGATCTCTTCAGCTTTGATGCTCTACACTTTGGCTACAATATCTATATAGCTGTGAATGTCTTTTTAGTTTAGCCTTCTTAAAATTTGTTATGCTTCCCAAATCTGTAGACTTGTGTTTTGTACCAATTCTGGAAAATTTTCATCATTATCTCTAAATATCGTTTCTTTCCCTTTCTCACTAGTCTTTCCATCTGGAATTATATGACAAATCACTCTCATTCTGTTCTTTATGTCTCTCAACATCCCTTCCATACTTTCCATCTCTTTATTTCAGACTAGCTATCTGGGCAATTTCTTCTGACTTATCTACTAAATCACAAATTCTCTCTTCAACTGTTTAACCTGTTCATTGAGTTTTACATGTGATTATATGTAAATTTTATTGAAATTGTATCCATTTATTTTTAAATTTCATTGATTACATTTTAATTTCTAGGAAGATTTTGAGAGGAGGGTTCTTTTTAAGATTCTGATGGGTCACAAATTTTCAGGAGACTTTTCCTCCTCACCTGGAGTCAAGGCCAAGAAAGACACGGTTTCTTGCTATCTCCTTTTAACAGCTGGCAGATTTTTTGTTTTCTAACCCACCCTTTCACAGAGATTGTAGCCGTTTTGAGGGGCCTGACTTCTGTTGGAGGATCTTTGTTCCGAAGCCCTACTTCACACACACCAAAGGCTTTTTCTGCTGGTCCTAGTTTATCCATTAAAACCTAAGCCTCTAGGTCCTAGTTTCATTAAATGCCCCATGGCTCTAAGGATAGCTTACTACTCTGATTTCAGTTCTGTCTTTTGGCCTCTGGGGTTTCCTTTACTTACCTTATGCTCTTTTAAGTTATGCACTTTTTGTTGCCATTTCTAGCTCTCTTGCAGTGGAAGGTTCTTTCATAATCTTATCTTCCTATATTGTCAGAATCAGGCATCCTTTACAATGAGGGTTGTCAGATAAAATACATGATGCTCAGTTGTTCCTGAATTTCAGATAATCACATGAATTTTTCTATTATAAGAATGTCCCATGATATATTATTCATTGTTTATCTGAAATTCAAATTATACTGGATGTCCTGTGCTTTTATTGGCAAAATGTGGTAACCTTACCTCCAGTCCATCTCCTGCCATTTTTTCCCCCTCATTCACTGTGCTCCAACTCCACAGACCTTTCCTGTCCCTCAAAAGTATCACGCTCATTTCCAGTCCCAGAGGCTTTATGTTTGCTTTTCCCTTGCCTGGAACGTTCTTATTCCAGATCGTCACACAGCTGGCTCCGTATCATTGACCTCAGCACAAATGTCACCCTATCCTGATTCACTTTCCTTGTCAGTCTCTATCAGCTTTCCTTATAAAACTTAACACTTTCTGAAATTATATTACTTGTTTGTTTACTTATATTTTTGTCTTTTCCCCTTAGTAGAATGTAAGCTTTGTGAGGGCAAGGGCCTTGTTAGTTGCTATATCCATATCACCTGACACAGTGCCTGAAACTTAGTGGGTATTGAATAAATATTTATTGGGTAATTGGCCCCCCAAACTCTGCTCTGCAAGATTCAAAGTTATGAAGACCTGTTGAAGGTAGACGAGCTGGCCTTAGCCAAAAACACAGACAACAAACATCTCAAGAAAAGTCAGCATGGATACTAAACAAAATTGCCATCAGAGGGCTAGTCTCTGTTGCAAGGAGCTGATGCTGGAAGATCCTCCAGACCCAGCTTCCCCTCATAGAGCCTCCCTTACTGAGCCATGACTGAATGAGGGAGGGGGAGTACCTGGCTTAACTGGTCAACGAGTCATCGTCAGCTGTTGGATTGAGGATTTGTGGAGGACCAGTATTTTTCTGCAATTGTTGTGGCAGTGAGACAAAACAAGGTAGTCAAGTCCTTGGACTTACTTCTCTTCCTGCTAGTGTGTAGAGGTCAGGCAGAGACCCCATCCTACTTGGACCCCACAAATCCTTGGGTTTAGAGGCAATTCAGGACAAAGAGGGAAACCTCAAAGAAGGAGATAATTTTAATAAAAACTAGTAAAAATTTTAAAGAGCCAGGACGTAATTATACCTCCAGTTTCAAAATCTTGGGAGATTAGACTCTGGAAAGGGGTACGGGGTATTGTAAACAATTAGGTATTAGTGAAGCGTAGATTGAGAGAAAGTGCTGAAACAGAGAAGTAGGAGGGGACTGGATTTAGGTGGGGCTTGTAGACTACATCCAGAAACTTGGTCTTTATCAAGATGAAACATGGGATTCACAAAGAATCTAAGCAAGGGAGTGACTCCAGTCTCTGGATGTGATTTGCACTTGGAGAGGTCTCCTGTACTCCTGCGTACTGGAGGGAACAACACTGCAATGAAGGCTAGTTAGAAACCCTTAGCAGTCTATTAAAGAAAAATACTGAAATTCTGAATAATGATAATAATGATCATTTTAATCATAGTAGACATGAATTAAACCATTACGTCCATTACATACTTAATCTTGTTTACTCCACAGTCACCCAGTGTTGGCACTGGTGTTAACATCTGCATATCACGACTAAGGTGAACAAGGTTGAGAGGGTAACTCAGGTCACTCAGTAACCACATCTATCCGACTAGAGGGCTCTCTTCACTCCCTTGGACTAAAGCATTGGATGAGGAGGAGGATGACGACAATGACGATGAATGTAAAGGCGCTTTAACTCAGCATTCGTCACACATTCGAGACCTGAAAGCCAGCTTCAGCGTCTGGGAAGGGGAAGAGACAAAATCAGGGTGTCGGTGAGCAGCTAAAAGGATATAAAACTTCCGTACTTGCAGAGTGACAACGCCATTACGGCCCACTCCTCGCAAACACTAAGACCCGCTGGAGCTCTCCACGCGGCTCCTCCCGGGACCTCAGGCCCCGCCCCGCCCGGGGGCGCCTCTGC